TGTGGCAGCTCTAGGTCTGCCTTTGGCGCATCCCTGTCCTGCATGTGGGACCAGCTCGGCAGCATGAGGCCCCGGTGAAGGCACCTCCCCATGTCCTTCCTGCAGCAAACATCACAAGCACAACAGGACTGAAACTGCCTAAACCCCCAAAGGATGTTCTCACAAGGGACCAAGCAGCTGGTGCTGCTCTCAGGAGCAGGAAACGTGACTGGACACCGGCTGTGCTCGCTCTGGGGACACACATGCCTGTGACAGGCAGCTGGGGCACAGCCTGGCCGAGGACAAGTCCCACTCATTTTGCCACTGGGACTGAAACCAGGCAGGACGCTGCACTGGGACCATCCTTCCCATGCATCGGCAGAAGCACCCCCACAACACGGAGCAGCATCCCAGCTGTGGGATGAAGTGGGAGATGACCATGAAGACCAGCAACCTGGGTCCTACTTGGGGGCCCTGCAGCCCATCTCCTGGTTGTGGCTGGGGGCCGAGGCATGGGCAGGCAGCATCCTTCCTTGATCGTGTGTGTGTCATCACCTGCCTATGCCAGGTCATGGCTGGACCCACCAGCCACCCGCATCCCTTGCTCCCTTGCCATCCCTGCCTGCTTGCATTACTTAGCCCATCTGTAGAGCTAGTCTTCCTCCAAGCACTTTAGACGCCTTAACTACTGGCGGGGGGGCCTCTGCCATGCAGATGTGCTCCCACTGCCTTTCTGTGCTCTCGACTTGCTTTGTTTCACCCTGCTTTTAGGTCTGACCCGGATTTGTTTTGCCTGGACAAGCGCTAACCCTCTGACCCCGTTCCCCGCTGCTGCGCAGTGCCTGTGCAAAGGCCACATCCTCCTTTCGGGCACATACTGCAGGTTCTTAATAAAGCTTTTTACCAGGAAGTGGAGCTGGTGCCTCTTGGTGCTGGGGGTGACCTGGGGGTGACATTTGTTTCCTTTGAAACAGCGAGGACGTGGTTTTGAGCTTGGGGGAAGTGAAAGTGGTGTTGGGGCTTGGGTGGGGGCTACGGTGGAGGATGCTGTGGCCAGAAGAGCTGAGTGTGAGCAGCCCCA